ATCTATCTATCTATCTATCTATCTATCTATCTATCTATCTATCTATCTATCTATCTATCTATCTATCATCTATCTATCGTATTTTGGGAGTATAAGACGTACCAAGATTTTGAAAAGGCAAATTTTTTAAAAAAAGTTTTTGCATTCTGCAGACCTCCCAAAAATGGGCCTTTTTGTCAAAAAAAGAGAGAGACATGCATAGCATTTAGGAGGCTCATAGAGTGCTCCTGGGGGCTGGGAGGCAAAAACGAACAAAAAACAGCCCGTTTCTGCTCATTTTTGCCCTCCCCAGCCACCCAGGAGCACTCTTGAAGCCTCCTAAAAGCTATGCACTGCCATTTTTGCAAAGGGGGCGGGGTTTTGGATACTGCTGTATTCAGTGTATAAGACGCACCCACATTTTCACTCTTTTTTGGGGGGAAAGGTGTGTCTTATACTCTGAAAAATACGGTATCTATCTAATCTATCATCTGTCTGTCTGTATCTGTCTCTCTCTCTCTCTCTAATCTATTATCTCTCTGTCCATATTTGTCTGTCTGTCCAGATTTCTCCTTAGTTCTCGGTTGCTTCTCTCCTGGATTGGTTTCCACCCATTGCTTCTTGTCCTGCCATTAGGATATAGGCCAAGTCCCTCTTCTTCTTTTTTCTCCATATGCAGGGGGCTAGTATGTCCCTCTCTGCAACTGAATGTCCATTGTGCTTTATGACATCGCTTGGGGCTTCCCATGGCAACACAGCTGTATATATATATATATATGGTAACCCTGCTGAAGCTAAGTGACTCATGCTCCCTGCAAAGAAGGAGGGACCTTGTGGCTTGCTCCTCCCCTGAGTCTTCTCCTGCCTGCTTCTCTCCAAAGCTGGTAGGTTAAACTCCCATAACTCTACTGCTGGCAAGCATGAATGAAGCGAAGATAAAACAGATCAGGTTAATCCCCACCAGGCTTTGGGAGGGATTTGGGAAGAGTTTTGGTGTCTAGGTTCAGAGAGGTAAAGAGAGGAAGGGGAGGGGAACTCCTTCAGATTTTGGGATCACCTTGACGATCTCTTCTCGGAGCTCTTCGTCTGTCTGTTCGGCTTCTGAAAGGAGAAACAAAATGAGCCACATTGGTGCAGTGGTTAGATTGCAGTACTGCAGCCTACTTCTGCTGCCTGCCGGCTGCCTGCAATTTGACAGTTCGAATCTCACCAGGCTCCTGGATGACTGAGTCTTCCATCTTTCTGAGGTGGGCAAAATGAGGGCCCAGATTGTTGGGGGCAAGAGGCTGACTCTGTAAACTGCTTAGCGAGGGGCTGTAAAGCCCTATGAAGCGGTATATAGTGTAAGTGCTATTGCTCTTTTCCTTCCTTCCTTTTCTTCCTTCCTATGGTTAGAATCAGTGGTGGGTTATGACTGGTATGGGTATACCAGTGCCTGCCAGGAGCACTGGGTACTGTTCCGGTATGGTGCTCCGGAGGGCCCACCCACCTGCCCAGCATCCTTTATTTGACCTCTTCGGGGCTTCTCGCAGGGCACCTGTGCGACACTCCGCCAAGCAGCTGGAGTGTTGCAGATGGTAAGTATACATGGGTGTGCTGGGCCCGTGTGCTGTGCACGTTCATGTGGTGGACGCCAGGCCCCGTTGCACCGTAACGGTTGCACGGAATCCGGAACCCATCACTGGTTTGAATGCAGTATTCTAGGCTAGCTATGCCAGCAGTTCAAATCTCACCAAGCTCCAAGTTGACTCGGCCTTCCTTCTTCCGAGGTTGGCAAAATGAGGAGCCAGATTGTTGGGGGCAAGAGGCTGACTCTGTAAACCGCTTAGAGAGGGCAGTAAAAGCACCATGAAGCGGTATATAAATCTAAGGGCTATTGCTATTTGGCTCTGCAACCTTTCAGACATATGCAAAGTGAGAAGCAACCAATCCACCATAGACAGGATGTTAAGGCCACCGTGAAACCAGGTTGGCCTTGTCTATTGCTCAGAGCCGGAATGAACTTTTGCACGATGCCCACTTTAAGGTATGGTACGGGATGGTAGAGAACCAGTTTGGTCTAGTGCCAGGATGGCGAACCTATGGCATGGGTGCCACAGGTGGCACGTGGAGCCATTTATCAGGGCACGTGAGGCGTTGCCCGTCAGCTGGTTAGCGTGCCACCTTTATTAAAGCCATTTTTCGCCCTCCCCAGGCTCCAGAGGCTTTATAGGAGCCTGGGGAGGGCAAAAACAGCCTCCCCGCCCTGGAGGCTCCAGGAGCAAAAAACCAACCCTACGGGCAAACAGGAAATTCAGGAACAGACTTCCGGTTTCTCGTAGGGCCGGTTTAAGCCCTCCGGAGTCTTCAGGGGCCTTCTGGAGGCTTCTCTGAAGGCTCTGGAGGATGAAAAATGACCCAACGGACAAACCGGAAGTCACTTCCTGAAGGTCCCTGAAGGCTCCGGACGACTAAAAACGGCCCTACAAGAAACCCAAAGTGACTTCCAGTTTGCTTGTGGGGTCATTTTTCGTCCTCTAGAGCCTTCAGGGAAGAGTCTGGAAGGCCCCTGAAGGCTTCGGAGGGCTTAAACCGGCCCTATGAGCAAAACGGAAGTCGTCGGTTTTTGCGCTCCGGAGGCTTCAGGGAAGCTCCTGAAGCCTCCGGAGGGGGCGGGGGAGGCTATTTTTGCTCTCCCCAAGCTCCTAAAAACCCTCTGGAGCCTGGGGAGGGCGAAAAAAGGAATGCAAAAAATGGGGGTGGGGGAGTGCCTGTCATGCACGATGCACGCTGGGGGGAGCACGCCTGTGCACAACCCCCCTCAGCGCTCCCCCCGCTTATGGCACACGAGCCAAAAAAGGTTCGCCATCGCTGGTCTAGTGGTTAAGGCATCAGGCTAGAAAGCAGGAGAGAGTGTGTTCAAGTCCTGCCTTAGCCATGAAAAGTAGCTGAGTGACTTTGGGCCAGTCACTCTCTCCCAACTCAACACACCTGACAAGGTGGTTATTGTGGGTGTCAGGGCAGCCTCCCTCAGTAACCAAGAAAGAAACCACTCAGCTCCATTTTGCAGAATTAAGAGTACTTTTACTGGTTATGAGTAGATAGCAGCTAAGCAAAGCAAGATCTGAGGCAAAAGCGCACGGAATCATAGATATCAATATGTGACCCCTCCCCTTCCCCTTGGTAACCCTATCCCATGGTCCAATCCGCACAACCCTCAGGTGTCATGTGGGTTTCATCTTCAAAAAGCATCATCAGGTTGGTATGTTGGACAGTTGGCCTTGGCGGCAAATCCACTATCTGCAGCATGCGCAGTAGATGGTGAGAACAAACTCCCTTTTTACAATCACTCCTGTACTGAAAACTTCCCCTCTGTACTGAGGCCACGAAATATTGGAAAAGGATTAAAAAATGGCTAA